CCCAGTTGTTGTAACAAGTTTGGAACAAGCTGTTAGCAACTTGTAACAAGCTTGATGGCATTATCAGAGTTGTTACAAGGTTGTTCTAACAAGCTGATACAGTCATGATAAACAAGAATGTTACAAGACGACGATAAAATTTTGTAACAATACTGTTATATCATGACTGTATCGGATTTGTTGGAACAACCTTGTAACAACCTAATAACAACAAGGTTGTTACAAATTGTTAACAGCATGTTCCAAACTTGTTGACAATTTGATACAAGCAGTGCGAACACGACTTGTTGACGGCTTGTTGGCAGACTTGCTACAAGACGTGAGATTTTTACGTATGTAATAGTACATGCCTATTTCACGCGCCGCATGTTTATGTTGCGTGTAGAAGACGTGCATGCACAGTTCTCCCTAATAAAAACAGCCAACTGAGTTTATTTCATTCATTATAGTTCAAGGTAACCGGGTCAAGCAAAATTAGCGAAGAGTTTCGAATTAACTTAGTTCGAGATAACCGAGTAAAAATTATTCAAATATTATGAGCAAATCCACAACAAATGGGTAACGGTATAAATTTAAAATAGCAGGGAGTTCAAAATAAGTGTGTTCGACATAGTGGGCGCCCTGGTGTATACCCGAGTATATATCTAACCTGGTCCTTCCATAATTCTTTTTTTCACGTTAGATATGACTCAGTGGTTAGTTCGACATTCCAGCAATATACATGGAGTTGTCAGATTACAATAATTTTGTGTGTGTGAGAACAGTGCTTCCGGTCACAGCCAACGAGACGGGGGAGGGTCTGGAGCTTCTGTATGCTTATTTTTCGAATTCAGACACCTGTAAAGACTAAAAGAGGTGCTCTCGCTTTCTGCTGGTTAATATTGTAACGTCCCAGGAAAATGTTTCCACTGTGTTTTCCATAAACCAAAACCAGAAGACAAACTTAGCTTTCATGACAGTTAGATGCAAATTGACCATTTCAGTTCACGTGTCGTAACAAATTTCTTTGTTCGCTACTAGCTAAACAAAGAATCTGTTATGACACGCGAACTGAAATGGTCAATTTGCACCTAACTACCATGAAAGCTAAATTTGTCTATTACGCATAATCTTGTCACAAGCTATTACGTTTCGATACTTTCCTTTATCGTACTGACCCTACTGTTGTATCACAGTGTGGTTGCACAAAAATCTTTCAAAGATATTGCATGCCATAATATATCTTACCAAGATCTAGATCATAATAATTATAGGATCTTACAGTCATATTACGATGATTTTGCTGGGATTTTGGCAAGCTTGCTAACCTAGGTTTAATTATTTAGGTCATGGTTTAGCTAATGTAGCTGTACCAGATAATTTGAAAAATTCTACCAGTATTTTGAAGGGAGAGATTGCCTTCATGAAACAACTACAGAAATGGTTGGGAGAGAAGGGAGAGAAGTGTAAATGGAATCTTTGTTACAGAGCTTCCAGAGATGGTTGGAGTGCCCAAGATTTTCACAAACATTGTGACAATAAAGGACCGACAGTTGTTTTAGTGAAAGCCAATGATTGTATTTTTGGAGGATACACTGACCAACACTGGGAATCTTCAGGTATGCTATGTAAGAAAAGATTTATATATTAACGTTGGCATAATTTATGCGAGCTATATATTTGTTCTGCAAACTGGTTTCATTAAACTGTCCATTTGTTACACGGGAATTTCGTGCGTTCCATATGAACGCATAAGGTGATTGTCGTGAAATTGAGTATATGGTTCAAAATCCTTCCAGTCCCATGTGAACCGGGGACGATTGTGTCAAAATCATCCCGATCATATCCAAAAGTAAATATTACAGTAACTATTAAATATTTTATTAAACTTTAATCATTAATAAAACACAAAACAATAGACACTCCAAAAATTGTAAACATTTTCATTCTTTACGTTTCGACTATTATCTAAACATTTTCATTCTTTACGTTTCGACTAAGTCATCTTCAGAAGAAAAAAAATCAAATATTCATCTTTCTATTGTTTTGTGTTTTATTAGAATACTCTATGGCAACCGTAATTTTTAATCATTATTCATTAATTTTGTTCAATTTTAAGGTTGTGCTTGGAAACGTTCCAACTCGTCATTTTTATTTTCCCTGCGCAATAAAGAAAACCTTGCTCCATTTATTGCCAACATCAAGCAAGGTCATGAGCAGAATGCAATCTACTGTTCCTCTGGCGATGGACCATTCTTTGGTGCAGGTTATGATGTGCGCATTTGGAACAATCCTCAAGTTAATCAATCATGCAGCAATTTTGGACACACATACCAACTTCCCCCTGGTTATGTCTATAACAGTGAACAAGCAAAGAACCTTCTTGCTGGTCAGTACCAATTCTTAACGACAGAAATTGAAGTCTTCAACTGAAAAGTGTCCTCATTTACGAAAAGTTTACTCATTATAACGAAAAATAGCATTACATTGATCATCCCACCGGTCTTAGCAAAGCGTTTTAGGCAGTGATATTGTAATACTATAAAGTATCAAGAATTAATATGAATATTTTAAGCCATGTATAGGAATCTTAAAAATTAAAATTGGTCATAAGCCTCACAGTAGCAGTTACTGGAGTCAACAAATGAAAATCGAAAAAATAACAATACTTGATTGATCATCGCTGGCGCTAGCTATAACAGTCAGTTTTTCACAGTGGTAATACATGACGTTAACTGCAATACTGTTACCCTGGTTCCAGGCGAGAATGGAGAGCCTCTGGTCACATCGATTGCAAATCCCACTTCCACACTTGATTAGGTTCAGAATTTGAATCTCGCATGTGATTGGCCATTTGTATCAAACTGATTAATATTAATATGTTTATCTCCTGTGAAATTTGATACCTTTTTTACAGGAGTATTAATATTCATGCTTGGTTGAGTTTAATAGAATATTTTAAAACAGGCTATAATTAGCTTACAATAATGTTTATTTCCCAAACCGGTTTGACATATTTTTACAAATGGCCAATCACATGCGGGAAGAAATATGGCGAGCTTGTGTTGTAGACGCAATTTATATTTGGGGGGCGAGGACTTATATTCGGAGGTCCTGGGTGGTACAACGTGCGCTAAAATTCTTGTTTGAGCTTTTTTGAGATACAGCTTAGTGGCTATCATAGAATAAAGTTCCATATAGAAGGGCCACTTACGGTCGGAAGCTTTGAAGTTTCTGTCCTCGCGCATGTCGCATTACGCATGTTGGCCGCCATTTTCCTAGCCAGTCAATGACATTTTCTGGCCAATAAACACGCTGTACTGGCTGGCTGCTCCGCCTTCTGGCCAGTAAACTGCATATTTTTGCATAAAAAAACAAGGACACGTTGCACCGCTGAGTGGCTCTTCTGTTACTGATCTTTATTCTGTGGTGGTTATGCAACGGTTGGTTGTGACCTCACTTTAATGTGAACAGCAGTAGCGAAGCTAGTATAGCAACTGGTCAGATGCAATGCAAATTTTAAATTATTTAAATCATTCAAACCTTTAGAAATGTATTGCCTATCGGCCTAGCTAAGTGCTAAACAGCAATGTTTTACCCCTCTTGGTAGTTAGGGTCACCCTACCTCCATGTAAAAAGATTCTCAATTACATGTTGCACCATATATCACTTTCCAAATTAACAAGCCCAAATAAAGGACGGACCATTAGAAAAGTGATGGGGGGGGGGGTCCATTTCAAACGTGCACGATTATTTTTTCAAAATTTTTTGCTGTGTCGATTATTATTTTTTTTTTAATTCCTTGCTCGAATTTTATTTTTTTGACGAGGGGGGGGGGA